ACAAAAAGAGTTTTAAGCGAATGGGAGCAAAATGACGGATATGCTAGGATGAGGATTGGTGGAAAACACTATTTTAAACATGTTGTCATTGCAACTCATTTTATACCAAACCCTAACAATCTACCTTTTGTAGACCACATAAACCATATAAGAAACGACAATAGACTTGAAAACTTACGTTGGGTCACTTGTTCTGAAAACAGTAAGAACATAGGCAAATTTAGAGATATTGTATTCGAATTTGTCGACGAACTAGAAGATGAAGCAATTGAAATTACAGACTATGGTAAGCATACGTTTGAGTTTTACTACTATAGCGAAGAACAGGACTCTTTCTACCTTTATACCGGCGTAAACTATAGAAAATTACAAGTATGTTTTACTAAGGCAGGCTGTGCTTATGTAAACACTAGAGATACAGATGGAAAACACGTTCATATATTTCTTAACAAATTCAAGAAGCTATATGGCATACCATTTTAAAACATTTTTTAAAACAGTATATTTTTACATATATTAAATGTTTCAGGTTGAAAAACAAAGAACAAAAGTAGCAGATACAAAACCGTTAGACTATATCTTTACAAACGCTGGTAGGACTGTATCAGATGAAGAAATTTCATCCCGAACATACAAGTTTGACTATCCAATTCGTTGGCTTCAAAGTCCTTCAGAAGCAAAGGCAATAGGATTTAGAAGAGTTTTGTTTTCAAATAGAACTAACGCATTTATGTTCGCAGTAGATTTTCATGGTCAGTATAAAGGTGATGATGGTCTAATAGACAAATTTGACGAAATGAGAATCTTTACGGTTCGTTCAGACGAAAGTCTTGAGAAAACTCTAAATGACTTTCAAACTCAAATAAACAAATACTATTGGGAATTTCAAGAAAAATACGACTCTTTACTAAACGGAACGTACTATCTGAAACTAGAATACGATAAGATGAACTCCACCGTTTCATTTCAAAAGATTGAAATTAACCCTCCAAGAGATACACAGTTTTTATTTTGGCAAGTAGACAAACGTTCTTGGGCACAATTTCTTCGGTTACTAAACCAGAACGAACCATTACCACCTGACGGGCCTTTTAAATTTATACATCCACCAGCAGATTTGACAGTTTATAGAAATGTGTTTGACCCTCAAAATGTTATGTGTCATGCAAGTTTCAGTTCAAGCAACAATAGTTTTCTATGTATTGGTAAGGACTTTTATGACTTTGCTTCTAAATTCTACGAACCACCTAGTAACAGTTTCTCTGACTTTCAAGTTTGGTTCACAACAAATGGTGTGCAACATATTATTCCATTGTACTATGACTTTTATCTCGAATTGTCTTTCATATATAACTACGGAAAAGTGCTGAAAAAGTATTGAAAAATAATGTTTATGTTAGCATGTTAGATCTAACATGTTTTCTAACATGTTTTCTAACATGGTCTAAAACTCTTGAATTTTGTGCTGAATTCGACAAAAATGAGTTTTTGGTTGAAAGAATACGGTGGAGCCAAAAGTGGCTCGACCTCAAAACAAGCATTTTGTGAAGAATATACCAACCCGCGGAATTCCGCGGGTTGCTTTTTATACAAAGTTCAACAGGTGAATTTTCATGAATTTCCTTAAGATAGAAAAAAAGTGAGTTAAAATGAGATGTTTACTGAAGGTGTCACCATGTCACTCGGTCATTTTAACTTCTCTGAAAAAGTGTGACAACATGACATTTTGACAACAACACAGGAAATAGATTTCATCGTATATTTTTTGTCAAGACTTCTTCGTAAATGTTTTGTTGAGACTTCTTCGTAAATGTTTTGTCGAGATTTTTATCGTTGTGGTCCGACGGTTAAGCCACAAACGAATGTCCGACGTCCCACCAAAAAATATTTTTTTATTTTTATTGTAAGAACAGTATGACAGTCGAAGCAAAAACGTTCACGAACAAATCTAATGGCGAAACATTCACAAAAGGCACTTATAACGGTATTGAAGTCTTACGTAGAGACAAGGATGGTTACATTAATGCAACAAATATGTGTCAGCAGTTTAGGAAAGACTTTAGAAGGTTGTTGGAAAATAAGTCCTGGGAAGAGTATTTTAAGGCATTTTGTGAAGAATATACCAACCCGCGGAATTCCGCGGGTTGCTTTTTATACACAGTTCATGCAGGAATTCCGGATGAAATCAAACAGGTTAGAGGAATGTATGTAGACCCAAGACTTATAAACTATATAGCAATGTGGGCTTCTCCAAAATATTGCATAGCAGTTGGAAAAATTCTGGACTCCATAGACAAGAAAGTTCATGAGAAATTAGATGAAGAAGAACTTGAAGATACAGTAAAGAATGCTAAACCTTTGTTCGAACAAGAAGTTAGAAAAAATGTGCTTAAACAAATAGAACATGAACGTGAGATATGTTCTGGTTATAGAGACTCGCCATACGAACTAGACCAATGGGAACAAGAAGATTTAAAGAGAGAATTTAGAGAATATGAACTCGCTAAGATAGCATTAGAAGCTGCAGAAAAGAAGTTAAAAGTTTGGGGTCGTTTTGTACAAAAATATTGTGAGTAAATGAACCATTTTTTTCGACAAAAATATAATTTAGGGTAGAAGGTTAGATCTAACCTCTTTTCTAACCTCTTTTCTAACATGGTCTAAAACTCATGAGTTTTATACAGAATTCGGCAAAAATATAATTTAGGGTAGAAGGTTAGATCTAACCTCTTTTCTAACCTCTTTTCTAACCTCTTGAATTTTCATGAATTTTCATGAATTTCATCGTAAATGTTTTGTCGAAACTTCTTCATCGTAAATGTTTTGTTAAGACTTCTTCTTCGTAATGAGCGTAAAAGACCCAAAAATAATGTTTATGTTAGAATGTTAGATCTAACACGTTTTCTAACACGTTTTCTAACATCGTAGAAAACTCATGAAATTCATGAGTTTTGACACTTTCACAAAAAACATAAAAAATAAAGTTAGTTTTTTAAAAAAAATATTTTTTATTTTTATTGTAAGAACATGTTAGCAACAACAGCACCAAACTCTTTAGTCATGAATCCAACATCTATGTTAGTAGAGATGAAAAGCTTCATTCCTTCTTCATATACTTTCGAAACAACAATCCAGAAGATAAAGCAAGAACTTTTAACAAATAATTTAGATTGCACCGCACAGGATGAAACAAATGGACAGTATCTTTACGACATGCAGGACCTCATCGACCATCTACCCAAATTGCCTGAAATCCAACAACAAAAACTCACTATTCCAGAATTCGATGAAATAGAAGTCGGACTGACTGACTCGGTAGAAATAAAGAAGTTCATTCGTAAGGTAAACTATGAGTTTCTAGGATTTCATTGCAACCATAAGGTTATGGACAAAGACTGCGATATGGTATATAAGAACATCTCTGACATATATAAATCTGGGGAGTTTAAGACCTACGACAACTTTGTTTCGTTAGTTGCTGAATGTGTATGGCAGATAAGAGATAAAGATAGAAGAGGTAAGGTATGGAACGAACAAATAAGACCCGCTATGTTTGAGTTAAAGAAAACCATTGACGCTTTAGTTGTACTTGCAGGACAAATTTCAATGTACAATGCTAAAATGAACCCGCAATGTTCAAAATGTAAGGCAGCAATGAGGAAATATAACTACTCCGTCAAAGAGATATAGGGTGTCCAAAGGTGTGTTTAGCACAAACCTGAATACTGCGAATAGAAATAAACAAGTTACATATATATAAAGTTTATTTAAATATAATCACCAATGGATTCAATCACGCGTTCGCAGCGATCGATCCAGGCTTGAAAGACACGCTTTAAATCATCATGAGAAAATTTCTCAAATTGCTCTCTTACAAAATTTTCAAGATCATCTGGACTCGCGAATTCGCGTCCTTCAGCTCTCTTTTTTAGCGTGCCGAATAAATAAAAGTCAGAGGGTGCAATATCAGGTGAATAAATTGGGTTTGGAACAACTTTGACATTGTTTTCCACCAAGTAATTCATTACCTTATGACTTTTGTGAACTCTTGAATTATCAAAATGAATTGCAAACTTTTGTTTTTGTTGTTTGGATTTCTCAAACTCATCAGAATTGATAATTTGAGTAAGAACATTGTCAATTAGATACTGAGCATTCATCGTATTAGGTTTTTGAAGAATATCAATTGCGATGATGCCATTCACGCCCCAAAAAACCGACAACATCATCATTGGTGTGTCAATTTTTTTCTTCGGGAATGTTTGCGGATTTTCATCCTTCGGGATCCACATGATTTTGGCTTCTGTTGCATATTGAAACCAAGACTCGTCCCCTGTTACTAAAAAGCGAAACTTCTTGGATTGATACGCACCCAATATAGAGAGGAGCTCTTTCGAAGATTGGACTCTAGATTTTTTTTGAACTGAATTAAGGTTGTGCGGAACCCAACGTGTATACGCTAGTTTGTAGTTCAAATAATTGTGCAGATAATAACTAACTGTTGTACGTGGTATCTTTGTCATCTCCTCTATCCTTCTGAGTGATGCTCTTGGGTCTTCATCTAGCGCTTGAAGAATTGCTTTGATTTTTCTTTGATCCGGCGATTTTTTGTCAATTTTTATGATGGGCGCCTTTTTGTTCATGAAGTGATACATCCTAACATGATACGTTACAGTGGAATAGCTAGGAGCATCCATACCGAAGCATTTTACCAATGTCTCGTAGATTTTTTTACAGTCTTTGCATTTTTTTGCAAGAGCGAGGATGTTTTCTTTATGATTCATTAAAAAAATGAAAAAAAATCCCGCCAAAATTTCCCGCGAAACCGCCTCTTGTCTCAAAATTCATTTTATATCCCGGCATGGCGCCAAAATACAACTTACTCATCATATACATATATTCATATTTTTTATTATATATTTATAATCAGCATATATCTCCTTTAATAGTCTCATATAGAGCGCTGTGCTAAACGCACCTTTGGACACCCTATAGAAAGAATGAGAAACGACTATGCAGATTTAAAGAAAGAAGTAGAGAAACCAGCAGAAGATAAAATGAACATGTTAGAATTTCTGAACAAAAACTATCCAACAGCAGAAGATTTCCTTCTATCTGACGTCAAGAAGAAATATAAAGAAACTTTCGGCATAGTTAAAACATTCGATATCCTCAGCGAAGAAATAGAGGCTACAAAACTGTTTAAAGTCTCACGAATTCATAACGTTTACCATGTAAAACGCTTATAAAATAACTGGGGTAGAAAAGAGGTTAGAAAACAGGTTAGATCTAACCTTCTAACATAAACATTATTTTTGCTGAATTCCGTATGAAATTTCATGAGTTTTGTGTGTTTTAGACCATGTTAGAAAAGAGGTTAGAAAACAGGTTAGATCTAACATTCTAACATAAACATTATTTTTGCTGAATTCCGTATGAAATTTCATGAGTTTTGTGTGTTTTAGACCATGTTAGAAAAGAGGTTAGAAAAGAGGTTAGATCTAACCTTCTAACATAAACATTATTTTTGCTGAATTCCGTATGAAATTTCATGAGTTTTGTGTGTTTTAGACCATGTTAGAAAAAGGTTAGAAAACAGGTTAGATCTAACATTCTAACATAAACATTATTTTTGCTGAAAAATGACCAAATTTCATGAATTTCCTCATAAGATTGCTACCCTCGAAAAACCGAGGATAGAGATTCCGTATGAAAATCATGAATTTCCTTAAGATAGAAAAAAAAGTTAGTTTTATTTTTTTTATTTTTTATTTTGTATGTAAGAACAGAAAATGTTAAACATTGAGTTTGAAACAGTTAGAAAGATAGACAATGAGACCAAAATAGTTAGAATAGGTGATTTAAACGTAAGATACTCAAAGAAATACAAAAAATATTCTTTGTCAGACATTTTAACACTATCTGAAAAGAAAACATCCCACGACTGGGTTAAAAATGCTTCTACTCAGAAAATTTTGACAAAAAATCCTGAGCTTATGATATCGGTAAGATTCTATGGAACAAGAGCATATCTCATCGACAAAAGTCTTATACCAGTAGTTTTGTTCTGGATTGACCCAGTTGTTGGATATAATTTCATAACATATGGTTCATTCGATACGGAACGTTGCAGTGAAGGCTTACTTTACATCGTTCAGAAACCAAAGGACTTCAATACAAAGAGATATAAGATAGGAAGAACATTTAATATAACTCAAAGATATGACAGTATAGTCAATAGAGTTAAGGTTGTGTTTGTTAATGATATGAGAGCTGCTGAAACAGAACTACTTGAAAAGTTTGAGAAAATGTATGGTGCTCCCACGAAAGGTAAAGAAACGTTTGAAGTAGATGAGATAGATAGTGCTATAAAATTATTTGACGAAGTTGCTGAAAAATACATGTAAAGCGTTTATTTTTGGTCTTTTGTGAAAGTCAAAGACGATATGTACCAAATGCAAAGTATTTTGACAGCATGTTTTGCTCCAGATACTAAGCTTCCTAAAGACTGGTTTAGGAACCAAAGCACACAAGAACTTTTGAGCGAAATTTCTCATATGTTTGCGACCGGTAGAAAACCGCGGGTCGCCAAAACTCTATGAAAATCGTAAAAGAACAGCGAGTAGGTAAAAAATCGGTCTTGCCTAAAACTCATGAAAATCGTAAAAAATTGCCAAACGGTTTGAGAGGATATTATGTACATAGACTTCTTGTAAATGCTGTAGCAATGTGGGCTTCACCTCTTCACCTAAACATTATTTTTATTGAATTCAGCAACAAAAATCATGAATTTCCTTAAGATAGAAAAAATAAAGTTAGTTTTATTTTTATTTATTTTTTTATTTTGTATGTAAAGACAGATATGTCAACAACAGAGAACACAACAACAGTTATAGTCCATGAAGCTATAAATGAAGAATATGAGTGGGTTCAGTTTAACAAACAACTCCGTCTCATTCGTTCGGTCAAAGACGATATGTACCAAATGCAAAGTATTTTGACAGCATGTTTTGCTCCAGATACTAAACACGCAGACGATTGGTTTAGGAACCAAAGCACACAAGAACTTTTGAGTGAAATTTCTCTAGACCGAGAAAAATCGTCTTGCCTAAAACTCATGAAAATCGCAAGAATTTGGCTCCTGGTTTGAGAGATATTATGTACATAGACTTCTTGTAAATGCTGTTGCAATGTGGGCTTCACCTCGTTATGCTTGGTATATTTACAGACTTCTTGACGAAATTCATAGACAAGAACGTGAAGAGATGGAAAAGAAACTTCAAGCAAAAGATGAAGTCATTGAAGCAAAAGACAAAAGCATTCAGAAAAGAATACCCGTTCGGTACCAAAGGAAAGGAAAAGAACTATAAGTATATGATTTATACTGAAGAGATGGAAAATGAAGAAGATAAAGATATGGTTATGTTGCATTTAGTCAGAAGAAACAACAAAAGCTTTTACGACCTTGCTAAGATTTACAAATCTGACAGAAATTGGTTCTATCGCGAAAACTTACCGATTTCAATGACACCAAATGAAGATGTGAAACAAATAGTTCAAGATACGTTACCTCAAACACACTATGATATTAAAGGTTGTACAATACTTACCTTCAAAGAAGATTTGCCGCTACTGAAAGAAAAAATAACAGAGTATTTTGACAACTTCAAACAAGCAGAGTAAATGAACTCTTTATTTTTCAAGCTTGACTTCAGATGGCTCAGGTAGCTCTATAAGGTAAATTGTCTTGTCAAATCCTTCTGGCATTCCAAGTTCTTCCTTCAGACAAGAAAAAAATTTCCCGACAACTGGAAAAAAATTTCCCGACAACTGGAAAAATTTTTCTTGTTGTTCGTCCGTAAACCATTCAAATTTTCGAAAATTGAGAACTTTTTTCCATCCGACAGGAAAATTTTTTCCATCCGACAGGAAAATTTTTTCCATCCGACAGGAAAAGTTCTTCCATCCAACAGGACACAAACGGATGACTGACGTTCCTCTTCCTGAATGCCTTCCAAAGCCAGAAGAACCGACAGCCCCAGCACCACAACAGACTTACTAAGACTAAACACTTAGATTTTTCAAGCTTGACTTTTTACAATTTGAACTTTGTTTGCGTAGATATGAATTCTGAAAGAAGTATGAGGGTCTTGTATGACTTTGTACTTCTCCCATAGTTCATGTCTGTCAAACTTACCTGCCATGGACTCTTTCATAAGTTCCATGAAATCGTCTTCGGACAATCCAGGGAAAAGTATAATGTCAGTAAGTATTCTTTTAACATCCTTACTTAAACTCTTTGCTGTCTGTACACATATTACGACTGAGATGTTAAAGTGTCTGAGCTTCTTAAGAATTCGACACATGTCTTGTTCTCTGTTCTTTAACAAAGGATGAGAAGCAAAGTCATCTAAGATAAGAAGACATCTATGAGGGTACGTTTTCCAATCGTAAGATTGCAATTTCTTCGAAATGTATTCTATCTCTTTCTGTTTGTTTCTGAAGTGTTTCTTCTCTAATATTCTCTGCATTCCTCATTTGGGTCTTTGAACTTAGAATTTATATACTCCATTTATAGCATTGTACTTCAAAACTCTTCTTTGGTACTTCTTTATCCAATCTAACAACTCAGTATCCTTTATACATACTAACTTAGACTTCTTTATAATATCTTTGAACGAATTGACGGTTTGGTCAAATTGACCAGAAGTACTACAAATAACAACTAACTCATATAATGGGTTCTTCTCATCTAGTTCTTGTTGTTGTGCAGCCATTTTAAGATAAGTGAAAGTCTTACCCGACCCAGGTGGCAATTAGACCTGTTATAACCATTCTGAGCAAATAAGAACTTGTCATGTATAGGCTTTATCTGAGCATTTTCTAACTTTCTCTTGTTCTTGTTTAAAACATTCTCAAATTTCTTGTCAATGTCAGCAAACTTTTTTCTAACATATTTTTTAGAAAAATTAAAATTTTTTATCTTTTTGAAAATGTCTAGCGATTTCGCTATCTATATTCGAGACAAACTTTTCGACAGCAAAAACATCTGTCGACCATAAAATCTTACATAGTGTAACAAGAAAGGTGAATTTGTTCTAAAGTTCTGTTTCTGGGAATATGACAAGAACCATAAAACATTAAGCAGAGAAGTCTTAAAATTTGTCAATGACAGACTTGTTGACAGAGATGACGCCGATTGGAAAGATGAAGTCCAACAAAAGTTCTTAGAATGCAAAGAAGGCACATGCGCTGTTCTTGAAGATGAAATAGAAAACAGAATAGAAGAGCTATTAAAGGACAAAGAACTTTTACATAAATATGGTTCTGAGAAGTTTGACATAACTCCACCAGAAAAGAAGAAGAAGAGAGAAAAGAAAGAAAAGAAAGAAAAGAAAGTAGAAGAGAAGAAAGAACCTGAACCAGTTTCCAGAGAAGGTGAGATATGACATGTAAAAATAAAATTTTATTTTTAGAACATTTCTGGGTCCAATGTCAATGTTCTCTTCCTCTTTAGGGGCAAACACTGGCTTAGACTCTAAAATCTTTTTACCCAATTTACCTTGAACTTCAACTATCTTAGACTCTAATATTCATAGTCGTCTGCTTTCTTTGGTTCATAAGGTATAACAAGTTGTATGCTTTGCCTTCTTCGAGTTTAGAACTTTCTGTCAAAATTTTCTTTGACTGCTAACAAACCTTCTATGTCTAAGTCTTCAAAAGTTGCACCACTTTTTCTAACAACAGCAAACTTAACTGGTGCAATGTTCCAAATTTTGTCAAATGTAGACTTTTCAAATTGTAGAAGTAAACATTCAATATGCGAATGGGTCTAGTTCTTCTTTAAGTCCTGACATGTACTTATTTACTGAGATTGAATTTTGTCATCTTTTTTTATCGGATAAAAAAATATTTTTTTTAAAAAAACGTTTTAAAATGGTACCATATAGCTTCTTGAATTTGTTAAGAAGTATTTGAACGTATTTTCCATCTGTATCTCTAGCGTTTACATAAGCATAGCCTGCCTTAGTAAAATATACTTGTAATTTTCTATAGTTTACGCCGGTATAAAAGTAGAAGAGTCTTGTTCTTCGCTATAGTAGTAAAACTCAAACGTATGCTTACCATAGTCTGTAATTTCAATTGTTTCATCTTCTAGTTCGTCGACAAATTCGAATACAATTCTCGAAATTTGCTTTTGTTCTTATTGTTTTCAGAACGAGTAACCAACGTAATTTCAAGTCTATTG